AGCATAACCATCGGACATTAATATTCAATACACAACACAATGAAAACATAACAGCAAAAGAATAAGAAAACGAATCTAAAAGTACAGAAGTAGGATGAGCTGGCTATCTGTTACATTGTGTTGCACTCTTAAATGCGAAAATTAAGAATGTCTTTGTTAAGCAATGTAGAAAGATGATTTTAGACATGAAAACAGACTTCAAAGAATGTTAAAACTATAACTATGAGGTTGGAATCAGAACTGTACTCCAAATTGACCTTTATAACTTTTAGATAATTTCTCAGTTGAGACTGTTCAACTGTGTAAGTTACGGTTACCAAAATACATTGTTTTTTTAAAGCGATATTCGCACATCATAAACTATTTAGTAGTTTGTCAATCAAACCGAGTCTGCAACTTTCATGTGATTTTGCTGTTTGTAATGTTTTCCGATGGATCATTTTTCCAGATATTTCTATATTAAATTAAATTAGTATGAAGGCATTGACAAAGGCAAAGATTTTCCAATTTTTTTTTTTAATTATGAATTTCTGTTCACATTACTGAGAAAATACAATATTCAAATAATGGCACTCGAATGTTTGAACGATGTTGTAGCAAGTTTCATAAATGTCCTGTCGCGTTATAGTAGACGCCATACACATTTAGGTGTGGATGTTGCTATGTAACCTTTCTAAACTACATTGAATTGACCAGAATCTGGCTCAGCCATTCCATGTTTCTGAACATATTGGCAAGCAGTTTTGCCATTCTAGTTGGTTTCACTTTATCTAGGAACTGATAACTTGCCAACTGATCGAGCGAATGTCCGTAGAAAGGATCGGATTTCATGATAATTTGCAACAAATGTGATTTGCACCATTTTGGAATCGAAATTGTGTAGTTTTCGTCAAAGTCAAAACGCTCAACCTTTTGAGTTAACCGGTGATTTGGACAGGTAAATATATATGCGTATTTTTTTTATAAAATAGGGCTTATTGAAACTGTTTACAAATACTTATGCAAATGCAAATGCTGTATGGTTTCCGGAAGGTTACATGGTTTGGTTACATGACATATAATTATAGTATTTCAATAAACACTCAGAGAATGTACCAACAACAACAATAGCAGCAACAATTATAATTTCAAAATGCTTTTCGTCTTTCAACTATTTGAATCAAAAACATATCAGATCGATGATAAATATGCAAACACAACTTGTGTTAAAACTATTGCGAACTAATTAATATGATCCTGTTCCAAAAGTTTAAATCACACCAGCCTATTTCATGTTCCGTTCGACAGCTGTATAAAAGTTACCAGTAGTTGACTTGAACGTTCCGGTACTTCTGGGATAATTGATTCTTGTATAATAATTAATGCTAGGGGGCGTTACAGTCTCAAACAAATCGGACTGATTTCATTACTTCCATTTTCACTCCCGAGTTTTGATGTTGCATGGAACAAAAATGTGCAATGTGATTTGTGCTATAAAAATAAATCAAATCACTCTATACCAGATGTATATATCAAAAGAAGTTTGGTCAAATATCTCAACTTATTGTAATTGCAGACTCGGTTTTAATGAGTCTGTGCATTAACATTGTGAAGGACGCCCAAAGCTAACAAAACAAATACTCTTTATCCGTCGCAGATGCAATCTATTGAAACAATGATAACTTATTGGCAAATATGTAGACCAGAAACTTACCATTAGATATAGTTATAAGAAAATGTCCAGACATATTAAACTAGAAAATCATATTAATTGAGCTATTATCATGTATATAATTTTCAAATAACCGTCGGCTACTGATATCTTTGCGAAAAAATGCTAAATAAAGACAATCTTTTCTATGTCCGTACAAATCAAAATTACTATATTTTGATATTCGCACAAAGTTAAAATTAGTTATTTACATGATAATAAATGAAATGAACACAATTCGTATAACGCTTTTTGAAGGGCTTTGGAGGGTGCACACGCTACACAATTATCTTTCAGTCAGAAAAAATATTTTTTTGTCAATTTATGCTATCGCTTCTACAAATCGGTTAAATACGGCATTGGTACAGGACTATTATTTATTTCTTTAATTAATAAAATATTTTTATTTCAATGCCTTTCATAATTGATGCTTGCATGTACATTTATACTGCACAATGTAAATTATTAGTTATCATGTGCATTTGTTTCAGTAGCATTTATTTTAAACAAAAATGGAAAATGTAATCAAAACAGGAAATGCAATTATCTAATTTGATTGCGTAATTCATCGTCAGGGCACAATGCATTAAGATATTACATCTCAACATTACCCTATATCAGGAAAAAAATGAAGTTGTAAAGTTATAAATTGTAACACTTGTGATAGAAGTTCAACGTACTCTTCTATATTTTATGAAGAAAAAAATTGCAATCCGTTCATTTTTATTCTGATCGTTACAATATATTATCCGTGAAAGATTCATATTAATTTATGTCATATCGGCAGAAATTTGCGTGACACTCTCCCCTGCTATTATTTCTTAAATTGAGAAAAAGAACAGATACAAATAAAGTAAGTTCAAAATGGCAAAATTGTAATGTTGCAGGGTCGGTTTGGCGGTACTGTCAAGTGCAAATTACCGTCCACATCTCTAGCACAGGTTTAAGCAGAATTCAACATTTAAACATGAAAATGGTAAACTTTTGAATTAAGAAACATCCTCGATGTGATTAATTTATGTAAATATGTATTTCTCATTTCTTCTTATTCCAAACGAAAATTGTACAACTGTCGGGAAGAGATAATTTGATTAATTTTAACAAAAAAAAAAAAAAAAAACCCAACATTAACGAATGTTTTTTTTTGTTTTTTTTTATATTATATAGAAACAAACGATAATCTGTAGCAATTAAAGTTTCAACTGTTTAATTTGTGTCAATTTAGAACGAAAGATCAATTGAAGTTATTATCCTCTTATTTCTTGTTCTAAATCCGTGCTCTTACGATTCATCAGTCTATCAGCTGATGCGTTGCCTTTTTAGTTTGAAGGAAATAATAACATAATAAAATGATAAATATATAAATAAAAAAAACAAAGACAAAAACAATCAACAACAATAAAACGAGTCAATTGTACAACACTTTAATTATAGCAATGTCATTAAATCATTTCTAACGAGCTGTGTATAAATGTATAGAAGGTTTAAAGTTGTATTGGTATACGTTTTATAAAAAGAGACGGGATAATGTGTTCTTGAAATATTGTCTAACAAAGATAATAATGTATCTAAATTTAATCCGGATTTGACTTGACAATATCATGTCATGTTCTGTCAAGTTATATGATTGCATCTTTTGTTTTTTTCTTTAATCTCGTTTTCTCCTTGTAAAGTTTAAAATTCTTTCAACAAATTCATTGTTACTGCATATCCACAGAAAGACATACAGAAGGCGCGGGACCAATACCAGGAGAGGATACGAGGGCGAGCAAAAAAAGGGTGACATTTAATGACGGAAATCATAAGATTTTGTGCTGGGTATTTTGTCATTTAAGCCTATTGCTATCTAAGTCATTCTACTGCAAACCAATCTTAATGCTATTTGAATTGTAGAAATTGATCTGAAAGCATTCTTATCCCGAGCAAAGAAGAAATGAAAAAGAAAAGTTGATCAAATAAGAAATATAAATACTTTGGTGCAAACATTTTGTTTCTTACTGACCATTCCAAGGCGGTGTTCGTCTGTGTTCCTTCACATGTTTTGCATGTATCTATTGTTACATGTCTTGAATTATTGAACGTTTCGTGATGTCTTATCTTGTAAAATGTATCTTTAACGTATTTTCTTTCCTTCTCCGCTTTTATTCCATTTTGTGTCCGTACTGCCCATTTGTCCCCATTTCCTTACAACCCCTGTCCCTTTAATTCCGTTGTAAGCCTCTTTTAGTTCTTATGATTTCAGTCGTTACATGTCCCTCTCCTTTTGCCACCCTCGTGTCCTTTCTCGGTTTTGGTTCGGTACCTTTTGTGTGCGTTGCTGTTTTGAGGGCTGTGTCCTTTAAACGTTGCCTTTGCCTTGATGAACTTTGTTCTTATTGTTTTTTTTTTTTTTGTTTTGTTTTCTTTTTTATCAAAGCGGTTACCAATCCTTGAATTACTTATCCGACGCATAAATCATTCGGCCACGCCAAGTAAGAGAACATTGACGATCTTTCTCATATGCAATTGCATTGTATCCTTTAAAACAATAAAGTAGAATACAAAATAAAATGTCAATAAAAGTGCCAATGACAATACCAAAAGTTCTTGTCCATAAATCATGACATATCTCGGAAAAAAGATAATTGCTTGTACAGATACTCTAACATAAAGGATTAATGCATGTCAAACGCAAATTCAATGCATTGACATGTGTCAATCGATTAAGAAGCCAAAGATGTGAATAAAAATACTGGCAGTATTAAAAATCATACACTTTGGTCCGTCCTGAACATTTCATGACACGATAACTAATACTAGTTCTTGAGCTAATCCGTTAAACAATATCTGAAAGGTAACTGTTCTAAATGCCTTTGTAACAGGTCTTCATACATTAGTGCACGAGCATCAGTTTGATGTGTTACCAATGTCTTTATGTTAATTGCTATGACATTGTTTTTAAAAGATTTTCTATTATATGCATAAGCTGTTGTTGTTGTTGTATTTATTTGTCATTCCGTTTAGAACAAAACCCAATAGAAACAGAACAAATATGATGGGAAATGCAAGCATCAAGTAACATTTAAGAATAAAACATTTGTATGCATAGAGGTTTTCCTGTGACCCATAATAAATTGAATTTAGACGAAATTTTTGACAAAATGCCTTTCTCTATTCCTTTAATAGATATGAAAATAAACATATGTTTGATTGTCGATTCCATAACAAGTTGTAAAAGTGGGAAATAAACATTTTATCTTTTTTTACGAACATTTCACTGTCAGCCATTTCCGTCAGATGAAGTATTAAGGGACATGTTATCAGTTATTCGATGTTTCCTAATGGAAATTGTGAGTGTCTTTTATTGGTTACTTTATTTCACCAGAAGACCAAAAGCAGCCAGAAAATCAGCATCAACAACACTGAGTTGGAAGAGGTGAAAGACTTCAAGTACCTTGGGAGTTACATCTCAGCTGATAGTAACATTGAGAAAGAGATCTCAACCAGGATTAGACTTACAGCCCAGGCATTCAAGAGACTACAGAACATATGGAAGTCTACAGCCCTGCATACCAAAACAAAACTGAAGATCTACACATCCAATGTCCGCTCAGTCCTTCTGCACGCGTCTGAGACCTGGAGAACCAACACCAAGGTTGAGAGTAGGCTAAGAGGCTTCGAGAGTCATTGTCTACGCTGCATTCTCAAGATCCGCTGGCAACAACATGTCACTAACGTAGAGGTCAACAGACGCTCCGGGATCACCAACATTGTTCAAGAGGTCAAGTCCAGACGATGGAGATGGCTGGGTCATGTTCTGAGGATGAACAAGCAGAGGCATCCCCACAAAGTACTGAGATGGACACCACAAGGCCAGAGGAAGAGAGGTCGTCCACTAGGGACCTGGAGGAGAACCATCGAAGAGATGAAGGCAGCAGGCAAGACCTGGAACGAGCTGAACTGGTTAGCTCAGGACAGGGATGGCTGGAGGAGATTTGTTGGTGCCTTGTGCTCCACCTGGAGCGAAGAGAATTAGTAGTAGTAGTAGTTATTTCACCAGAATATTGCAACTCTGGAATGAATCAGATGAGTTTTTAGAAATACATTGATAGGCAAAATAGAAAATGTGAGTGTACTCTATTTTTATTGGTTACTTTTATTTACTAGAATAATGCAACTTTGAAAGTAATCACTTCAGGTGATTTTATGTGGAACTGAATTGATATGCAAAACATGCATATTTTTAAGATTGTAATATACTTTGCTCATCATTGTTGTTGTACTTTCATAATACTTTGAACAATTCTGACAAAAGCTAGTTAAACTATATTTCATTTCAAACAATTTCCACATACAAAATTCACATACAATAACGAATTATACAATGCATTACTGTAAAAGGATCATATCTGGAAGCATGAATTGCTTATAAAGGCATTAAATGATTAGCCTTTCAGTGCTCTGCCTTGCGCCTTGTCCTGCTTTTGTTTGGATCCTACTGGGCTTATTGCCACTGGTTCTTATTGCTGGGTCGTGTGGGGGTTTGCTTTTATTTAACGACGCCTTTTCTTTGTGATCTTGTTTATCATATTTTTTTCTCCTGACAAAGGATTTATAATTATAAACGGGACGGTTTTATTTACAAATGTTTGTAATGGAATAGGTAGAAGCGATAGTCATAAATACTAGTAGACTTAAGAAAGATGAACATTTAAAAACTCATTTACTAAGTTAAAAGGAGACACAGGCAAAATTTTCATTTCTTCGTTTTAAGTTTTACATTCATTATTCTGTGAATGTCCTCAAAATAAATACACTAGGCAGTCACAGGAGCAAAACTTTTCTTCTTATAATGAATAAAATGTCGGTTTCCTAACTTGACCCGCGTGGGTCAGGTTAGAGTGTTAAAAGTTCACAATTAAAAGTTGTCACAGTGAATTCTGGAAACGTTAATGAACATGTCTAATGAATTGTTTATACTTGTTTTGATCATACAATATCCACAATATCTGTTATTGAAACTTCCAGGGTTTGTCCAAGTAACATAACTTGTTTTTTTACTACTCGGAGATTCTGTCGGCGTCTAAATTTCGTTCAACATATATAGATATTTTTATGCTCCAAACCCAAAATATATAGAATTTATACAGAAATTCATGCTGGGGTTTTAAGAAAATGTCGTTTTAGCTTGATTTGAGTACATAAGATCATTTAATATTTTTGTCATTAATTTGCCTGAGTATCCCTTTAAGTAAACGAACTACTGAACAAAATGGGATTGAACTGATTTATAAAAAATGCAGTTCGGAATGCGGTTTGATAAATGTGAATGTTAAAAAAGTATTATAATATTTTCTCAGTCTTCTGCAAGGAAAGATTACATCACGGTATTGAAATCTTGGAACATCTTTTTTAAGTTGAGTTTAAGGTAATACGTATCATCAACACAGTAAAGGTCATAATGGCCACTTAGTAACTGGTGGAGGAATTTGCCTCTTTGTGCATTATAAAAAGAAAAATGAGTGCATTATTAGAATACGTTTTGAGTGACTGAGAACGTCTTCAATGCCAACTGACACAGCTTAGTACGCGTTGCATTCTCCAACAAATAGGAACGTGTAAAAACTTCCTTAAAGCCGAATACAGAAGGGTAAGATAATTGCTTAAAAATATGGATTGGGTGTGTGTCGAGGACTGTGTCTTGTAAACGTTGGCTTTGCCTTGTTGATCTTCATTTTGATTTTTTTAATAACAACTTCTAAATAAATTTAAATTATTACGATGTTTTAGTAAGCACATGTTTCTATTTTTAAAAAAAAGATTCTGCAAAATTAATAAACTGTCTAGATATCAATATTGAATGGCAAAGCACATCCCTTTTGTGCACTATCCAATTTTTAATTTACTACGGATCCCAGACATACTGGTATTGTAAAATGAAATTACCAGTAGATAATAAACACGTGTATTCAATCATTTCGGACATCATGGTGATTGAGACTAACAGGAGAAAAATCAGCTAATATGGGAAAAGGAAGATACTTGACGACTGCTTGAGTTAATTCAGGTGTTATAACGGGAGAAAAAAAAACTGGATGATATGGTTTTCAGGAGAATTGGTGAGAACAGCGGAAAAACCGGATGATAAGATATATCAGGACAATTTGCGACTACAGGAGAAAAAAAATACCATACAATTAAATAAACTGGTTTATAAAAGTAGCGGTATATTTTTAATCCTACTTTGCTGAAAATGATGAATTTCTAGGCAAATAGATGGCATGTTTTATGACATGATCTTATCAATCAGTCAATAATTGGCTTTCTGAAGGGGAAACTATTAACAAAAGGCATTGGGTGCTTAAATCGAATTCCAGCAATTTACCCACACATTTCTTCAATTCAATTAATTTTCAGAATAATTTTTATCATGGTTCTGGTGGAAAATGAGTACAGGAAATTTCTGTGGAAAATATACATTTTAGAAGAATGTAAACATATTTTGGGATTAAGAAGATAACCGGCTGTATGGGAAAAATAGCTGACACTGCTCAGCTTTATATAGCTGGA